AAATCCTAGAAATGTGTTACATCAGTAAATTTGTTCTAATTCATTAAACCACAAAAAAGATGTTGATAACTTGAGTTCCATCTATACTTATGTTTTACAACAGAAATTTCACTAAAAATAAAAAACTACCACCTTCTTACACGACGAGAATTACATAACCATTGCTGATCCACACTTCACTGAATCGTACGTTTGATGTATTTTCGACCTCTTATGGACTTAGTTGATTGCCTGCACTAAATTTATACTTCTATTCAATTTAACTTACAAGTCAATATGTTAATAATTTTAAAATAAAAACAAAAAAAATTTACAACTTAACGTCATATACAAAGAATGTTTTTCCTTTTGTATATTTTTATGTCAGAAAAATACAACTAGACTATAGATGTCTATTGTTAAATCTCAGCATATCTGTAAATGTCCGAACCCTTCTTGGACATATTGTTGTTTATACTACTAAAAAAAAATGAATGTAAAAAAAAACAACGAAATATCTGTGATATACACTAACATCTAATCCGGATGTATTACTTCCCCCTTTTGAGAACAAGTTCCAACTTTTAATTTTATTTTTATATCCATCAGCATCATGATACACTTAGTTTCTCTAACAGAAAGGTATGTAAATACATACATCTTACCGGAGTGTTTGACCACTATATAACAACACTAAATACCAACACGAATGAATTTTAAACATGATATGCTCCATATAGAACGGGAACTATATACACGTGTAATGAGTGTGTGCATATGTATATATGTGTATATGGTGTATATGGATGTATATATGTGTGTATACATAATATTCCAATTTTAATTGTGATTTTAAACGAAATTTCAATTTTCCAGTCACAATAATGTGACTGAAGAAAGGTAGTGTCTTATACCCAACAAAAAGAAGAAGTAATTGAGACAGGTGCGTATCGATAAGTGACAGTCGATATGACACATGACTTAATTAACAATTGTCTTGTCAAAAAAATACCGGCCGCATGGTGATTAAAAATATAACAAATTTAATAATTATTTAATTTAAGCTTTGTTTGCCGTCTTCCTCTAAGTAGAGATGATGCGTTTTGGTTTGTATTTGGAAAACAATGTGTAGTTCCACATCTGCAATAATTTTACACTAAGAAATAGTGTCAACGTTAAGGTAATATTAAAAAATAACATCTTTAATTACGATGATTGTAAAGAATGTTTTTCCATTACAGCAAGTTCTGATGAAGCCCAAAATTATGTGGCGAAAGCTTGACTACTAATAAAAGACACTCACTTTGAAGCACCTGTTTTTTTATTGCTTTCTTTAGTATTGGGTCGTTTCCCGGTTACCTTCAATTGTCTGTTATATATATATATATATATATAAATAATTATATATATATATATATATATATATATAAATAATTATAATAGCTATGTACGTCTACGTAGCGCAGAGAAATAAGTAAAAAAGGGCTTTTGAATTATTCAGTTATCTACCTATTTATTTATTTTTTTTTATTTAATAAATACCTATAGCAAGAAAACCTTATATAACTTTTCTGCAAAGATTTTTGAATTGTTTTTTAATTTTTACGGATTAGACATCTTATTGCCTATCCTAAAAAAGATCTTTAGAGTTAGCATAGTACTAACTTAAATATCAAAGATTTGGATAAACTGTAAGGGTGGTGTACAACAATCATGCTAAAATCATAACAGGAGCGATATCAACCACCGCAAAAACCGCCTACTGGAGGGCATATTTGACCTTCATATTATTATATATAATATATATATATATATAATATATATATATAGTATATATATAATATAATATATACATTATATAATATACATAATCTATATAATATTATATAATATATACTATATAAATATATATATATATATATATATATATATATATATATTATGAAGACGGAGGTGAAGGTAGGAACATACAGGGAAGCAGAGTAAAAGGTTACCGGGAATCAAATCTAAAAAGATAATTAAAAATGACTTACACGTTGGAAAATAGTACCAGATGCAAAACTAATGCATCCTATATAATTAAAAAAGGCACAGTTTACTTTCTCTTTTAAAAAGGAACGAAAGGAGGTCGAATAAAAGAATGTCATAATAAGCAAATTATTGGTGGTAAAAATATACACCATCGGAAAAGAGAGCCAACACATAGACTCTAATGGTAATGGTTTTAGAATCATTAACTTTGCGATGTCTAAGAACATGGTAATAGCTGGGAAACGATTTCCCCATAAAGGGAACTTGATAATCTCCTGGTAATGAAAAGAATCAAACCAAATAGATTTACATAATCATCGATGCCAAGACAGTTGCCTAACTTATTAGATGATAATGTCTTTAGGAGGAGCAAGCATAGATAGTGATTACTATTTAGTTAAAGCACGATTTAAAAGAAAGAATAATTTAATTTAAAAAAGGGAGATCAGGAAAAGGAGAGAAAAAACGACATTAAAAAACTGAAAGATCCGGACATTTGCAAATGTATACAGACGGCAAATTGAAGATCTAATAAGGACAGAAAAACTTAGAAGAAGAAGAAGGAGGTATTAAACCAACTATGGGCAAATATACGAGATTATTATGTTTACATAAATCGATTGAAATATTGGAAAAAACTAAGTCAGAAAAAGAAAAACCATTGGTTTTGATCATGAGTGCGAAATGGCCACAAATAGAAAGAACGTAGATTATCAAAAAAACCATAGACGCAGGTTGTACACAGAGAAAAAACAAAAAAGAGTATACACGTCTTAGAAGAGAGGAAAAACCGTATCCATTGACCTAAGAAGAGGGAATACGAACAGAAACACCTCAATGAGATACAAAAAGTTATACGAAAAAATAAAAACAAGGAAATACTACAAATCCTTAAATAATAGCCATCAAGAATTAAATCCACGATTAAAAATTTGTAAAGACACTAAACGGTGAAATTCTACATGAGTATGAAATGTTTCATTTATAATAACCAATATTATTTGTTCCCTTTTTCCTTCATTTCTCCGTAACTTTACTTAATTTTACCTTTAAGTAGCATATTAGTCACAGAATATATATATATATATATAATATATAAATATATAATATATATAATATATATATATATATATATATATATATATATATATATATATATATATATATATAGTAATATATATAGTAGCATATTGGTCACAGAAGGTTGTGTTTTTTAAAGCAAAGCTTCTATACTGGCATTGTATTACTTTTTTTTCTTTACAGTAAAATGTCACAGGTCATGGAATAGCGATTCTTGACAACGATTCACTACTCCCGATTAATTCGTTTCTAGTCATCATATATTTACTCTAAGCAGGTTTAAATTAAAAAGTAAAATATTAAAAGAAATATATGTTACTAAAAGATTCGATTCGTAACGATTGTCAAAAATTTATTAAAACTCATAAATGTGATCCGATTAAAAAGTTCAGTTTTTTAATAACTAATTTATCAAAATGTTAAAACTTTTTTTAACATACCTTAAAAATAAAGCCACTAATAATCGATTGCAAAAATATCTCGGAAGTAACTGTTTGGGTAAGTACAGTTGTTTTATTAATCACAACTTGAGATAAACAAATTGATGAACTTGCCAACCATTTGGCCGATCTGTTTGAAATTTGGCCACACTTTTTTAACTTATTACACACACTTTAAACTTATTAAACTGCGATAATTTTGGTAGTTTTAATTACATATTATTATGCAAAAAACAAAGTTATTAACATTATAAATTACTATAAAAATAAGGGTTTCTGTAATTACCTGTCTTTTGTTTATGTACCTATTTTAATTTGGAATCTCTCAAAGTTAAAAACGTTTTATGATCTACAATTTTTAGTTAAACTATTTTTATTAGAAGTGTATAAAAAACGTTTTATGGGCGAAAAATATTTTTTTTATATTTCAAGATTGTTTAAAATAAAATCAAAGCAAAATCAGTTCGTCAGTACGTCTTCACAAATTTTTTATCAGCTACCCCTCGTATGACTTTTAGAACCTTCAAATATCTGTATAAGATTTTATTATTAAGACCTTTTTCTTTCTTGATTGGAGTACTAGTTTTAGGTATACAATCTACTGTGGTATATTCGAGAAAATATACTCCTTAGAAATTAGACTAATCAATACATAATGAGTAAAAAATATATAAGAAAATATTAAATATCCGAAAAAAAAAACATCCTAATCTCTTTAATATAAAGACAATAAAATATTAACAAATCAACAACTAAGAGATGTTAGGAAATAATTTGAGTGTAATTAACTATATAATATAAAATATACTGAAGAAAAATAGAAGAAAGTCATCTAGAGTAAAGGGGTACACTGAACACTGTAAACGAAATAATAGACACTCGAAGTTAATCAGAATGGTAGAAATTAATCATTTAGCAAAAATTCCGGCATATAAATCACGAAATGTACGAAAATGTACGAAATGTAAAAAGCAAATATTATGGAATCAAATTCCTAGCTTAATGTGTAAAGTCAGAAGAAGATTATTATATTTATTAAGTTCACACACTAGCACTACACTATATATTATATAATTTCAAATAAAAACAAATAAATATCCAATGGAAAAGTCGGTATAATATTATTGTATAAGGATCCAGCTTTCGATATATTACATAAAAGAAAATAATATGTAAATAAGCTCTGAGTAAGATAAATACAAAATGAACAACTTGAAAATTTACAAAAATTAAATTAAAGTTTAACAACATTACAAAGAACCACTATTAGTAAGAAGCGTGACCATAAGAGAAATATATTTAAACAAAACTAAAATTAAATAAATATAAAAAGTGATAAAACAGAATCTAAAAATAAATAATAACACTATTGTAATTTTTATTTTTAATTTTTAATTTTGAATTTATTTCTGTGAAGCAAAAATAAAAAAGTTATTATGCCTAATATTTTAAAACTTTTGTTCAACTTACTTTCAACTGTAAATGGTCTTCCGTTACCAGCATTTTGAATGTTTCCCCGATTTTCCGGTTGATTTTCATCGGGGTGGTAAGCATGATTATCCATGTTTACCAAAAATAAAACTCTTGTCACTGACTACAGCGCGATAATACACTCATCGCGCGAGGGACATACCTCATATCTGACAGAGAAATAACAACTATGTATGTTCATGCCCATCAAGTGTCATTTCGTACTGAGAATTTACCTCTTTATACAATAAATTGGAGTAAACACAAAATACAGATCGATTGACATTCGTTTATTGATTAGATAACTTAACTTTTAAGTACTTACCGGCTACATGTAATATCAATAATGTAAATTTAGTTACTCCTTAAAAGGATGTGCTTCCTTTAAGGGGTAAGGTCAAGTCCGAATATAGCAATACAGAGTGTATCATTCCTAGTGAAGCCAGTAGGTATAAATTATTGTTTAAATATTTAATATTAGTAATACGTAAATCAATTAGAAAATACGTACACGCAAGTAATAATTAATGATGTCGACAGACAAAAACCATTTAGTGACGTAGAAATAAAGGAAATATTAGATATTAATTGTATATCAAACAATAATCGTTATGAGAGAATAGGAACACCGTCCAAAAGTTAGATCATAATTTTAACTATTTGAATTTGTAACGTTATATACTTTGGTTATTTTTCTTCAAATAATTATTTCTGTTAATTTTATTCTATTATTAAATTTCTGTTTTGTTTTACTATTTTTATTCTAAAAATAGATGGCGCTCAACTTTCTATTAACTAAATATTCTGTCTAAACTTTATTCTTTAATTTCGATTTCCATTTATTTCAGATATATTTACATTTACTATTTGTATATCACTCGTATTCAAACCCTATAATAGACCGTCGGATTTCAAAATAAAGTTCATCCACGATTTTATCCCTGATGCCTTTTGTGTAATGAAAAATGAAAATATGAGATGAACAGAAATAAAGGAAATTTACAGTTGAACCACGGTGCGTTTTTTTTTTTGAAAATAAAATTTTCCATATTACAAAAAATTTCTTTGGTTTCACGTTTTTATCCCTTATGTCATTTTAAGAATCGACAGATGAATATTGATTCTATTTTTAAAAAAATGACATATTGGTGCCCTAAAGGTATTAACTCAACCTAAACATGTAACGTTAATAGGTCAGTGTCCGTGATTTTATTCTTCATGCCACTTGGAAGCTTGTTGGATTTCACCATAAGGAAGCTTAAAAAAAGGCATAACATTTTTTTTGAATAACCCAAAACAAATCGGAAAAAAGGAAAATTATACATTGAAAAAAAACTATACGATGCTTATAGATAGAATAAATATTTTGTCTCATCGGCATAACGAATCGACAAGCCTATGCCGGAGGCATAAGTCGTACATTGGTTAAAAGTCTGAGTAAATTTCCACGATTTTCTTCCTCATGCCACATAAGCTTCTCTGAAAAAAGGCGTAAGTGCTACAAGTTGCTTTAAACATTTAAAATCATTTCTATCCTTTTTTATTTATTACTATCACTAGGAAGATTTTTTAAATTTTAACCATTTTCTCCCTTATCCCTTTTTAGTATTATGTATGTATAATATGTATATATACCTATCTATTGGAACCAGACTCTTGGCACTTTATCTGTATAAGCAAGACAACCAATCTTAAAATAATATACACTACTGGCCTATTGACAGAAATAAAATACCAGACCTTGTAGATTTGGAGTCACCATGGGTTTACCAAACAACAACACACACACATATATATATATTATATATATATATAATATATTTATATATATATACTATATATATATAATATATATATATATAATAATATATATATATATATATATATATATATATAATTGTTACGAACGCGGCTCGCCTAACGGTCGCATCTCGAAGCACCCAGAAGTTTCCGCGATATAACAAAGCGCTGTAAAATTCCACCCGTCGAATAACGAATTAGAGGTGGGACTAGTCCCGAATATTCTCGAACATAATACTTGTGTATATATGTAACGGAATTAGGAGTTAAGTTTAGTTGATAAGAGAATACAGAACTGTAAAGTTATAAATAAATATATTTATATAAATTCGAACCGCTCGTTTTATTTAAACACGCTACAATATATATATAAATATATTATATATATATTATATATATATATATATATATGTATATATATATAAATATATATATATATATATATATAAAGTATATTGTATATATATATTATATAATATATATATATAATATATATATATATATAAAAATATGTGTGGAGGAGTGAGCAGTGAAGTTCGAAAAGGAGCATGTTAAACTGGAAAAGGAACACTATAAGAACAATGCGGCCATTTGTAGCAATAATGTTAGAAGACTAAGATTTCCAGAGCAACAACTAACACTTTACTCGAATTAACATTTTTCTTGTTGTTTGAAAAGTTCTAAACGTTTAGCATTCCTTTCCTCAGGCAGCTTAGCTTTCTCCGTGGATGTATTAGTTGTTGCTCTAGGAATCTCAGTATTCTAACATTATTGCAACAAATTGGTCGCATTGCTCCCGTAGTGATCCTTTCCCGAGTTACCAAAAAAATAACCGTAAACATAGAAAAACGATTGAGAAAACCATTCTACGGATCTATACAAAACCAGCCAAGAAACATAAGAAGATGATGAAGAAATAAGAGATAATAGAGATGCAGAGGACGCACCTACCTATCTGGAATTTATAGATGTCGTAAAGTAATTTAAAGTAAATGAAACTCCGAAGCTAGATGAAATTAAAAACGAACTAATCATACATTGAGTGGAGAAGATGCTAAAATGGCTATATACACTAATGGTCAAAATTATGTCGACAATACAGCGTCGAACTATTGGTTAACACCAGGAAAGATATTTTAGGACATAGAGGGTTTCCTATTTGCCCTTCAGGATCAGGTTATTTCAACTAAAAATTACTGGAAATATATTTTTAAAGACTCTCAGGTCCAAAACGACAAATGCAGATATGAATGTCAAGCTTAAGAAACCATCCAACATCTTATGGGGAACTACCAGGCGTTTGTGGGGACTGGTTACAAAGAACTCCATGAGTCAGTAGGAAAGATTCTTTACCAAGAATTAGCTAGCAAACTGAGACTTCTCCAAATCGACCATATCCCTTATTATCAGTACGTCCTTTACAGAATGCTTGAAAACGACAACTATAAGCTTTACTGGGACTGAACTGTACTCACAGAACAACCAGTGGCACATAATAGACTGGGTCTCATACTAGTTAATAAACTTAATAGACAGACAACATCAATAGATGTGGCGATACCTAACAATAATAATTTGTACGTTAAATATACCGAAAAAATCACCAATTACAGAGATCTGGAAATACAAAAAAGGAGACAATGGCAAATGGCAAGTACTCAGACGATACCTGTTATTCTCTTTACTACTGGAGATATTGCGAAGAGCTTCTTAGAGAATGTAAAACAGCTGGGTCTTGATGAACATCTCTATAAGACCATGCAAAAAGCAGTACTGCTCCCAACATCTAGATGCGTAAGAAAATTTTTGGGAGATACTCCAACGTACCAAGTCACATAGGGCTCGATAACATTGGAAAGAGTCCCACCAGAGCTTAATCCTTTGATACCGTAGATATCTGGGATAAGTAAATTTTCCACTTAGAGGGAGTGTGAGTCGAATGGCTAAATCTGTTTAATATAAAAATAAAAAAATATTATGACAAAAATTATGCTAAAAGAAAAGCTACTGAGGGAAAATGCTAAGGAAGATCATGGAAATTATTGATCGTGAAAGAGGAATTTAAAATGTTAAAAATAATAAAAAAAAAGTGGTACAGTAATCGGTACTACAGACGAGTTCGAAACTTCATACTACATTTTCTGTATAATTAAAATTTAAATAATATTTTATAAGTATTTCCTGACGCTACTTCCGTGACGCTCGCTTAGCATTTTAGAGAAAAAGTAATAGAACGCTAGTATAGAAGCTTCGCTTCAAAAAACAAAGATCTGAAGCTAAAAACCTGGAGAAAAAATGCAATGGAGACAAGAAGAAACTGCGCCTATATTATATGAATTTTAAGTTGTAGTATGCCATTAAAAACATGGATATTTTGCATAGAAAAAAATACCCCTAGGAATGTACTCCTAGAATACCCCTAGGAGTACATGGCCTACAGAGCCTTATATATAAATTTATTATTTATGTTATATAATGAAGCTTCTAGCCTCTTTAAAAATTATTTGACAACTATTTTTGAGACCTTGTAGAGTTCAGTAAAATAACATAATAATATATAACAGAATATGATAATATTCGTATACGTGGCTTTTAATCTTGGAAAAAGCTAATTACATATAATTAGAGTTGGTGCTATTATGGGTGGCAAAGTAATACTTAATACTAATAAAATAAAAAAAAAACTTTAAGCGCGAGGAGGGACCGCAGAATTTCGGATACAATTAGCGTCTCTTAGCAAAGACAATGACGTCGACTTTGCTAAGTATCAAGACAATTACTCTACACACACACACAAACACACACACACACACACACACACACACACACACACACACACACACACACACATACACACACACACTACAATAATAAACTTATCTTGATTGAGACTGGCTGAATGACAATTGTCCAAGCCAAAACACACACACACAAAAAAACTTGAAGTATACATCTATATTATGTATACTTTTAGAATAAACACGTAGAAAGTTGTTATACAAATCTAAATATATAATTGAATCACATATAATATACTGCGCGAAATAAGTTAGGGATATTGCCAATATAATGGTAATGGTACTTCATTCTGTTTCAATTATTTGCAAGAAAACGATTAAAAAGTATTATAGTTTTTAAAAAGCATGAAAATTTGAGACCTTATAACGATAATCAGATAAAAAAAACGTTCTAAGTATTGACAGAGTACCTGTAAAATAATTTGAAAATGACCTTTTTTCTCTCAAATGGAATAAACAAATAATATGATTGTTTAAAAACCACTTTACCAATTGTTCCCATCTTTCGCAAATGTAGTAACTGCATTTATAAACTCACATTATAAAATGTGTTTCAAATGTTTTTATTGTTTATTTTAATAATTATAAACAATTGAACAATATGCTTACTTTCGGGTTTAATTTACAATAAATTTTATTTTTATAAACATTTTTTAATTCAGAAAATCTCATTTTAA